TGGTTCATTACCCAGTACCAAATCCAATGTAGCCTCGCCTCTTGTTGGCCTATCTACATACTGTGTCAGGAAACCCTCCTGCACACATTGGACAAAAACTGACCCATCTGAAGTACTCGAACTATAGCGTTTCCAGTCAATATTTGGAAAGTTAAAGTCCCCCATAACAACTACCCTGTTACTTTCGCTCCTATCCAGAATCATCTTTGCAATCTTTTCCTCTACATCTCTGGAACTTTTCGGAGGCCTATAGGAAACTCCCAACAGGGTGACCTCTCCTTTCCTGGTTCTAACCTCAGCCCATACTACCTCAGTAGACGAGTTGTCATCAAACGTCCTTTCTGCCACCATAATACTGTCCTTGACTAACAATGCCACACCTCCCCCTCTTTTACCACCTTCCCTGATCTTACTGAAACATCTAAACCCCGGAACCTGCAACAACCATTCCTGTCCCTGCTCTATCCATGTCTCCGAAATGGCCACAACATCGAAGTCCCAGGTACCAACCCATGCTGCAAGTTCACCCACCTTATTCCGGATGCTCCTGGCATTGAAGTAGACACACTTCAAACCACCTTCCTGCCCGCTGGTACACTCCTGCGATAGGGTTGAAACCTTATTTATGACCTCACTACTCTCAACCTCCTGTACACTGGAGCTACAATTCAGGTTCCCACCCCTCTGTTGAATTAGTTTAAACCCTCCTGAAGAGCATTAGCAAATTTCCCCCCCAGGATGTTGGTACCCCTCTGGTTCAGGTGTAGACCATCCCGTTTGTAGAGGTCCCACCTACCCCAGAATGAGCCCCAATTATCCAGGTATCTGAATCCCTCCCTCCTGCACCATCACTGTAGCCACGTGTTCAACTGCTCTCTCTCCCTATTCCTCACCTCGCTAGCACGTGGCACGGGTAACAAACCAGAGATAACAACTCTGTTTGTTCTAGCTCTAAGCTTCCACCCTAGCTCCTTGAATTTCTGCCTTACGCCCCCATCCCTTTTCCTACCTATGTCGTTGGTGCCTATGTGGACCACGACTTGGGGCTGCTCCCCCTCCCCCTTAAGGATCCGGAAAACACGATCCGAGACATCACGGACTCTGGCACCTGGGAGGCAACACACCAACCGCGAGTCTCTCTCGTTCCCACAGAATCTCCTATCTGTCCCCCTAACTATGGAGTCCCCAATGACTAATGCTCTCCTCCTCTCCCACCTTCCCTTCTGAGCAACAGGGACAGAGTCTGTGCCAGAGACCTGTACCCCATGGCTTACCCCTGGTAAGTCGTCCCCCCCAACAGTATCTAAAACGGTATACTTGTTTTTGAGGGGAATGGCCACAGGGGTTCCCTGCACTGTCTGCCTGTTCCCTTTCCGTCCCCTGACTGTAACCCATCTACTTTTTTCCTGTACCTGAGGTGTGACTACCTCCCCGTAACTCCTCTCAATTACCCCCTCAGCCTCCCGAATGATCCGAAGTTCATCCAGCTCCAGCTCCAGTTCCCTAACACGGTTTCCGAGGAGCTGGAGTTGGGTGCACTTCCCGCAGATGAAGTCAGTGGGGACACTAGTGGTGACCCTTACCTCCCACATTCTACAGGAGGAGCATACAACTGCCCTAACGTCCATTCCCACTGTTCTGAATTCACAAACAGACAAATTTAAAAAAAATACTAGTCGCCTTACCAAATCAGCACTCAGAACCTTTTTTTTTGGTTAGAGGAGGAGGATGGGTGGGAGACACTACCTAGGTAGTGTTTCAGGTAAAGCAACTGCCCAAATATGGGTCACCAGATAAAATTCGAAAAGGAAGCCTTGATGTTTTTCCCTAGTTAGCCGAAGTTTATTGAAGCTGACATTGCAACTTCACCCATGGAATGAGAATATGTTAACTGTGATCAGAACTCAAGTGATGTTTGGCGAAATGTAATTTTACAGGCAGGCTTGCCATAGTCCTATGAACTCTCCCTCTCCTGTGGCAGCCATTACACACTTTACTTGGAACAGATGGGATTTTGCGATTTGTGTGGTTCAGAATACAACAGGTTGTGCCCATATCCTGACAGCCATTGGGGAACTCAAATTCTCTGTCATAAAAGGCATTTGGAAAGTCTCTGTTACATTAAGCTATTATTTGTATGTATACACTAAAGTATACTTTTGTTCAAAGCTTTTATTGTTTTGGTTTGATTTTATTAAATCCCATTACTTTTCTTTGTAACTCTGTATTGTACATTAGTGTGATCATCTAATACAGTAATTCATCTTCATCCCCTACCCCAACCCAAAGTAACAGTTCTTGTCCAGTAAAATCTGAATAAAATGCCCTGCCGACAGCTAACTTCTTGCCACTTGTAATGTTGCAAGGCACAGGTTCTACAGAGAATTTTATTCTCCAGGCTTTATATACCAGCATTTCTGAAAAAGGATGGGTAGACTTTGTAAAGATATCAGAAGATTATTCATATATATGCCTTCTTCTCAGGTAGAATTTGTGGAAATCAGATGAATATGTTCTCTTGAATTTCTCTGAAAAATAGAAAACACAGGCTAAATTATGATGTGATGTTTTGAAAGAAAAGTTACTTTTCTTCCCCAGACTCCAGAAATTCTTTGCCTTTGATAAACTTGATTTAGTGCAGGTACAAAAGGCACTTTACATTCAGGAAGGTCTATTAGGAACAGTTGCAGTCAATATTGTGGAAATTATTTGCTGTTTTATGAGTAGCTTTAGTTAGCCACTTCATTTCCAGACACACAATGTTTTGATCTTTCTCTTTATTTAATATCATGAACGATTTATAAAGCAGATTGAGCTATTAACTTTACTGTAAGATAGAATGTGCAGTCTGATTAGTTATGTGTGAAGCAGTATTGCCTTTTTAGCCTCCTGGACATCAATCAGTCCCAAGGTAAAATGTTAGTCTGGTTCCGCCAGTTTCTGTTGCAGGCAATGCATTAGTGATTATACTTTAATGTCCCTGATGAAAAAGACACCAGTAGAGGTAAATACTTTCAAATTGGAAGTACTTAATTATGCAATTCTCTGATATTTACTTTTTATATGATTTGTTTTAAAATAAAGCTTTATGGATGTCCAGTTTAACTCCATAGAAATTAGTTGGTAGTACACGTGATATGTCAATCATAAGACAATGGATGTGTTCCAGACACATAAGCCAAAAGATCTCTATGGCATATATCCTCTTTCTGGTGTTCCATTTCATTCTTTTTTTGGGCTTGATGTATGCCAGTTCAGCAATTCTAACTGGATTAAATGCCACTGAACTTGCTGCACAAACTGAGAATTCTTATTAATCCAAATGAATGGCAATTTTATGTTTTTTTTTGCAGAAAGTAGAGGTTAATACTTTGACTGCAATCATTTAACTATATGCAGAGGGAGAGCATTAATTGGGCTTTCAGTTGGGCACTCTAAAAGAGATACTTGTTGGAAGACTGAGAAAATATTAGCTCTAGTATCATCCTTCACCAACAAACTTTCCGTCAGTTAGGTGTATGCTGTAAAGTGTGTGGTTCTTGGTTGATATCATTATGTGCCACTGTAAATTAAATTTTAACGACTGGGGCATTTTCGAAGGACAGCGCAACATGTATCCAATGCCAGGGTTATGGTTTTCTTGGTTTGGTTCAGGTTATCCGCCAGTCTTCACTGCTGCTGTCTGCTTTGTGAAAAACCAGGGAAGTGAGGCTGAACAGCTAAAACGATATTTTTCACTTCAATGGAAATCTTATTTTTGATGGGGGATAATAAAGTGAGAGAGACAGTAGCATTATCTTCTTTTTCTGCAAAGCATTAAACAGGTCCATGTTTGTTCCAATCAGAGCTCAGGAAAGTAAAGCTATAAGAAATACAATCTCTCTGAAATTGGAGGTGGTGCCAAATATAATATCCATCTAATTCTTTTCCTGTTCAGGCAATTTTCAGAAACATTCATTCTAAAGATGTTAGCAGGAATGCTGTTTTAGGAATGGTAGCATGATCTTACTCTGGGACACACTTGGAGGGAACTGAGAAAGGTGATAGGGTGATAGCCTGGATTATCCAATCTAAGCTCCTATTGAATAAGGATACTTGATGGGGGTGTCAGTTTACAGAATCAACCTTTTCCTTCCTAGTTATGTTGTATATGTTCCTACTGATATGACTTCAACGGAAGATAGAAAATGTGACCAGGATTTTAGTTACTGCCTCAAATTTGGTGGTGTCGTCAGCTGTTTATATTTTTCTGCTCTCAGTGTCATTGCCAAGTGTCAAGAACACACATGCTGCTCATTTAGGGGCAAACAGAAATTGTAAATCGTTTAGAAAATTCAGTTTAACAATGAAAGTTATTCTGTTTCAATTTTGGAATTAGGAAGATCAGGTTAACAGTCTAACACAGTTATTATTGTTATTTCGTAGAGGACAAATAAAGTAGCCTATTTTACAAAAGCGCTGAATGTTGCCTAAATGGCGTGAAAAGTGCTAAGTCTATAAATGTCATTTTATTGACATTTGGCAGCTCAATGCTCTAGTATACTGTAATGTTAATGATAGTGTGTTTCTTCATTGTCATTCGGAAGCATGCTGTTCACTTGCTTTTGTGTTAACAATGTGATCTTGGGCTCTTTCTATGTGTGCTGGAGTGCATATACCTTGTGTTGTCGCACCAGCACACAAGCTCATTGTTATGTTAGCAACACAGTATATTGTGAAATGAGAGAGCAGAAATCTAATTCATTCCATTTGCCTTGGACGTACTGCAAGGATCTATGGAATGCTACTACTTTCAGGGTAGTTTTAGGCCACTGCCATTTTGAAAGTCAGGCAGTGTACACGCAATGGAATATGCTGCCAATACTGAAAAGAAACAACAAAGGCATGGGTGTTAACTTTGCAATGTAAAGACAGTAACCACTTATAAAGTTAGGCAGGTAAACAGAAGCTTTATTTTAACCAAGGTGTTATATCTGTTTGCCTATTTGTAATTCCTGTAGGTGGTAAGAAAAGGCTGGCTCACCATCAGCAACATTAGCATCATAAAAGGAGGTTCCAAGGAATACTGGTTTGTACTGACTGCAGAGAGCCTCTGTTGGTTCAAGGATGAAGAGGTAAGAAAGCATACATGCTTCCTTGCAATCGTATAATACTGTAATTATTCTATCCATAGGACATTGCTGCATTTTGCTATTAAATACTTAAATCACTAAGGTAGCATTGATTCACTAGAATTCTCTATGTGAAGCTTAGGATCTGGACTGATATTCACAATTCCCACAAGTCCTTTTCAGTCTCTTGGCTGGAGCACAAGGGTAAATTGAGAAAAGTGGCAACATACCACTTCATTGAAAGGAAGAGATAACCAAAGTGTGAGCCTCTCAGTTTTCAGCCTCCTTCACTAACTTGGGTCACAGTTGAATACCTCTTTCAACAGTTGGGGAAATAACATGTGGCTAGGGTAAAAATAATTTTTAAGGCATGAGGTGAAACAATGTAATAAATTTTAAAATATCTTTACTTTAAATCTGGTCTGGCAGTTGCCATACATGGGCTGACATGCCTCTTTTCTGTTATTTTTAAGGATCCTGTGTGAAATGTTTTTAAAAGACAGTCATCTTTTTAAAACTTGGCTCCTAATGGGTACAACTTCACAATATAAAAGACAATTCAGGAATTCAACATAGGTGGTAAATTTGTAAGCCCACTCAAAGCCACAGGTTGTGGTTGGGTTTGGAAAATAGAAAAGTGTTCTCAGTGCAACAGTGGTTTCACTTCTGAGCTTAGCTTCAAAGGCAATGGACTACATTTCTTCACTCTGTATTTAGTTTTCCAGTAATCCTGCTGAAGAAGTGTTTGATGCCATTACAATAGCAACAATGGCTATATTATGTCTACAATGTAGAAAATTCCCTGAAGATGCCTCCCAAAGAAGTGTCCAAATAAAAATGGATGGTGACTGAGAGTACCAGACAATTTGATGTGAAAAATATGACTTGAAACAAAAAGTAAAAACTGGAAAAAGTAAATTTAATGTATCAGAATGATTCTATTCCACAAATGTCCAGCAGGTTTCGATTAGGATAATGGATCTGATATCAAAGTATTTTTTCAAGTGACTATCGACAACAAATTTACTGGCAACTGCCAATTAAAATGTAGATGCAATTTTGGATAATAATATTCTCTCATGGAAACAGTTAATTGCAGTTCAAGTTTGAGATATAAATAGGTTTTTGTTCGCTCTACTGGGGATAGTTTCACAGCCCTGGCATGTGATAATTAATTGCTGTGAGAGTTTGAGCGATAAACTTGAGTTAATTCCTTCCAGGCAACAGGTTCTAAATTGCATTTAAAATTGGTTAGCGTCCTGCCCCCTATCTTTTGAAAAAACGTAACGGTCATATGATTGATGGTGTGTTGCAGTACCTCCCTTTTGAGAAAGTCTATTGGAAATTCTCCACATCTAAAGTGTTATTAAAGTAAGAGGCATGTGATATCCAAAAATAAATTTATTAATTTGAGAGCCATAATAACTTAACAGATCACACAGGTATATATATATAAAACATAGGTCCATCAGATATTTAACTGTATCTAATTTGACTCTGATTCACCCAACTTCTGTGACTGCCATTTCTTTCTTATTGCCTTCATCCTGAAATCTCATTGTTAAAGGAGGAAGACTGTTGGTCACATTGTTTACCAAAACTCCTAAGGTCCCATTTCCTTTGCCATGCTGCTAGCAGTTCACACTTTCAGCAATTTGCAGAACAAACTTCTTCATTTTTGAGGGAGAAGGATGATCAGCTAACTAACAGAGTATGCTGTGAAATGCTCCTTTCTGGCAAATTTTGGACTTTGGCGGGTAAATATTTGGAATAATTTTCATGTTGCATTGGCAAAACGTCAACACTGAAGAGACTATTTTAAAATGAATCTGCCAGTGTTCATTTTATCTAAGGAAGAAGCATTTGCGGAACTGCATAAGACAGAATATAGACAGAAAACAGTTGTCATTAGCAATGTTGACTCATTACAAAATTATAGCATTTGCTCCCTGTGATTAGGTTATTACAATACCGTGGATTTTAGAAAAGTGGCATGCACATACCACTATCCTCCTTTCACATTTGGACTGAGTATCAAGTCTCCATAAGTAGGCTTGGCTAATTTCAGTGTCAGTCTGCTTGTATAACCAGGAGGCAGCACTGGTCCAAAGTTTAATGAAACTATTATGTTGCTGAGTAAGGCATTATGGAGTGCAAACTCTCAACTCTGTATTGCGGATACCTCCATCATATAGTCGCAGGCACAGGACAAGAAATGCCAGTAATATTGCAATAAGATAGTGCTGAACTGTACTGAGTAGTTTTTTCTAAAAAGATTATTAACTTGAGAGATTAATTTTTGTATTTAACATGTGTTAGCTTCTTCTTTGCTCCTTCAGAAAGCCAGCATAGACGTGATAGGCCAAATAGCCTTGTTCTGTTCTGTCACCGTTTTGTGATCTTGTGCATTATTTGTGAGGAAGAAACATTAACTATAATTTGAAGTTCACGCCTCTTCAAGATGCCACAGTTCAGAAATGTTGTAAAATGTAGCTGAGCGGTAACACTGCTAAGTTGCTCCAGTATGCTCATTTTTTATGACTGAACGTTTTAACAGTGAATACTGCGTGTCCCTGCATAACTGCTGGGAAAGTGTCAATATGTAGTTCATTCAGATTGTTTAAAGCTGTCAACTTCTGTTAAAGACTTAGACGGTATTTTGTCTTAATCAAGCCAATCCAATTAACATTTGGATTACTCACAGATTCTTTATTTTTCAAATCTGCATTAGTGAAAAAAAACTAAACGTACATAAATCAAAACATGTTGCCAATACAGTTGATGAAAGCGAAAAATGCACTTACAAGGCAGCTGTACTGCATTGCTGACGATGGTATTTTAATAGAGATTGAGAAGTCTTTTGTACTGATAATGGTTCTTCCGATTTCCCGTTGAATGGCTGTCAGTCAGGCTGGGTTGTCATGTGACTGCCTGTCTGTGCCTGCTGTACAGGTGAGAGGATTTTCTGCACAGCAAGTGTAGACAGGCAGACACATGACAACTCCTACCAGCCACTGCTAGGTTTCTTTATTACTTACGTTCTCCCATTTAATAGGTGTAACAATGGCAAGGAGTTTCCAAAACAATTGACAAGAAAACAGTAATTTTTCACTTTTGTAGCAATACAGGTTGAAATAGGTTTTTTGTTGTTGCAACAATCACAAATATACAATGGAACGCAGAAGGGAATCACATCTATTCCATTTCCTTGATTTGCAAGATATTAGTGTAAAGATCTTTTGCACAGTTTTGTTTCTTAAATTTATGTTTTGGTGTCTCTCACATGCAAACATATACCCACTAACATGCAGTGGCTCTCACACATTCACACACAGTAACAGACACAAACTAACACGCATACCCACAACACATGTTCCACATGCACGCACAAACATGTTATACACACACACACACACACACACACACACACACACACACACACACACGCGCGTGCATGCGCACCATTTAAGCAACTAGTTGGACACACGATTAAGTAAAGTGTATTTCACTTACAGAGTAGCTCAGAATTCTGAGGGTCGCATAGATTATGGTTTTAAATATGTGAAGTGGAGAATATGTTATTATTTGTGATAATTAATAAAGGACAATTCCTGTGCATAGTAAGAGCATACCCAGTATATATACCCATTCCTTTAATTCAGTCATAAATATAATTGTACTGCATTATATAGTAACAGAAATTGCTTTGTAACTGTTTATAGCAATCTGTGGATGTTTGAGTGATGAGTAATACTGTATTGTATATGATTGTATTTATTACTATTGGTTGATTCTGCTACAATGTGACAGCCTGTTTATACTAGGCAAATAATACTGATATTTAATGCTGACCAAATGTCACATGTATTTTGTTATGAAATATGTGCCAACTGAAAAGAAAGAAAAACCTCGCATTTTACAGTATCACAGTCAGAAACAGCTCAAAGCAAAGTACATCCAACAGTTTGCAGTATACCGATTGCAAGACAGGCTGGCTGTTGAATTGATGACATTCTGATGAAACCAATATTAAGTAATGTTAACATACAATGTGAAAAACTATTTAAATATAGTGAGATCAGCATCATCTTGAACTTTAGTTCAATGCTGGATCCATTAATTGAACATCGGGGAATGTTATTTTGGTGAGATGCAATTACTGCCGTATACTTATCACAGCTGAGGCTATGTATAAAAAGATAATGTAATTTACTACCGATTGTTTGCAGTGATTCAAACTTTTAATTTGATGAAGGTATTTTTGCTTTACAATGGTTAATAATTGCAGATGTGGAGGACTTTCCTTTTAGGATCAACAGATTGTACTGAATCGTGCAAGCAAGTTGTTTGTTTGTTCTGACAAATTAGACTGACTTCAGGCAACTTTACTGCTTCACAAGAAAGATAAGATCATACAATAGGGAACTAGATGTATTATTAGTGTCCCAAGCCCACAAGATTTAAAACTACAAAAATGGTAAGCATTATACACTGTATGTACTGGCAGACAAGCAGGAAATGGATATTTTTAAATGTTTACTTTGAACTGAATACCATCTAGTAATGCAACCTTCTCCTGCTGGCCAATATCCTGGTTTTTATACAAAGTTTTGACGTACTGTGCAGTTGTTGATTTGTGGAAATTACATGTTTATTTTCAAACAGTTACGTTTCCTCTTAAGCTTCATTTTAAAAAAGTGAACACTTTGTGTTTTGAGCACATTTCCATTTTGTTGCATTGTTGAAAGCTTTTAGTAGATGTAATGATTAAATGTGCATCCTTGTACACTATTTAATTTAAAAATAAATGGTGGGTATGCTTTTCCGTGAGGGTACACTTCTTTCTCAAGTGTATAACTGAACTGAAAATGCAAATTCATTTTTATTACGAAAGCGTAACTGCTAGGTAATTCAAGCCCTGTCTAACTTTAGAAGTTTGAAGTTTATAAGAAGCACTTTAAAAAAGCACTCTTTTTTAAAAAAAGGAAAGTTGAATAACGACT